ATCGTAGCCTTGTGTCACGCAACCTCCATAACCCTGAAATTCAAAATGCTCTGGTTTTCAAACGAAGCACGCTAATTGTAAACAAATATAAATATACCGCCTCTTATGCCTGATGAGGATAAAAACACGTCATGCATGTGAAGACGATCTTTTGAATTAGAAGTCTTAGAAAAACACATACTTGTAAACATTCTCGAAATCCCGGTGGCGATAGTAACAAACATCCATCAAACAGTTAACTGTCAAAACGAAGCGCAAGCCTTGGTCTTGCTTGCATGGTCATGAAGCTGAACTTCATAACTATAGCTTGGAATTTTGGCTTCTTATAATACTCAAGTAGTCATTTCCGAGGAATTAAAGCCCAAATACGACCAAGGAAAAATTATAAATTTGTTCAAATTTCCAGTGCTACACACTAGGTGTTTTACAGAATAGACGAACACTAATAAGAGTCAATCTTCTTTTATTCTGCTAACAACAGAACACTCGAACCACAACAACTTGCTCAAAGGGCACGTGTTTACAATTGGGGGGGAATTGATAAATCCCCCTCTTAGAACTAAATGTCATGTGATAACGCAAGAATGTTCTAGAAATATCACGCAAGGAATGTTGAATGTGATGAAGCGTTGTAGACTTGTGGGTCTACTCAGGTGACAGCGTCTTCTGTAATAGGTGCTTCATGGTTAGAGTTTAGTTTAAAACTTTAGACGAATGGCGTTGACAGATAAAATGTGATTTAACAATAACACCGAATATCAATGTTTAACAAAGGAGGATATGTAGCGTATGTTGCACTGATCATAATTTTACTGAGTTGGAAAGTAATGCAAGCCAAGTCGTGTTTTGATAATTGAGTGGTGATATTCATAACATTGTAGTTAGCAACAAATTTAAGTCGAAAGTATGAAAAAAAAGCAAGTTGTAAGCCACTATAATTACAAGATGGCTTTAATAAAAACATCGGTATTCACGTACGCCAATTCCCTATCCACACCATCCCACCATCCATGCCATTCCTTATTTTTTTAGTCGGGATCATTTGCGGTCCCTATCGGGAATCATTTCCGGTCCGGGATCATTTGCGGTCCAATTTGGGGATCATTTGCGGTTCGGGATCATTTGCGGGCCTGGGATCATTTGCGGACCCATACATCTGTAATGATCTGGCTTATTAAAAAGCGTTTAGACACTGCGTAGTAATCTACCAACGTCTACAACTATAAATATGAATTGAATTGGGTCGAAAGAAGTAAAAAATATTGTGAAACTCGATTAAATATTAAAACTATTTGTAGATAGCATTTGTACTTTTCATATTATGTTTAAGCTGAATATTGTGTATTGCTTTAGTATCCAAATGTTTCAACATACGTAGATTTCCCCCCTATTCTATTTAAAGCGCAAGGAGAGCTTTTGTTGAATTTTCAGTACGTGAAAACATTGTAGACGGATTAGCTAATTTAGTTAGCTCTTCCAGCTTTATGAAAGTGGCTTTCGATGAAAGCAAGTTGTCAGGACAATACATTAAGCCCAGGGAGTCCATGAATTTAAAAAGGGAAAGTCTTAATTATAATAAAGACCTGTTTAAAAATTGATGGCTAGTTTTCAGTGAATGTGGCGTCATAGTGATTTGCTTTTCATATGAATATTTCGCGGCATGATCACCTCTCTGTTGGAATTATTACTAAAACAAAATATATATATTTTAATTGGAACGTTTCGTTTTCTGCGAGAATGGCTTGAATAAAAAGAGGATTTTGAGAGCCTTTCAGAAGCAGTGCGAACTTGGTGGTAACCTCTACCAGATGCTCAAAAAGCATGACGCTCGATACGAATCCAGAGGCAGAGTACTTTAAAATAACTTGCTATCCTTTTCAGTGAATGCTGGAGCACAGCTCACAAAGGAACTTCCATTGTAAAGTTTATTATTAATTATAAATTGGTTGCTAAGGAAGTCGTACTCGTTATGGAGGCATTGAATTCGAAATGCGGTACACTTACAAGCTTGAATTGCAATGTACCATTTTTTGCAACATTTCTCTAACAGCTATACTTTGAAGGATGAATACTACCACTGTGTAACAAGTGATGCAACAATAATGGTATCATAAAAATGCCCAATCATTGGTAAACAGGTTGTCATGTGAATGTGATCATTCTTTTCATATAACAAGTTACCATGGCAACAATACAACGTGATAAAAACAACCTTAATTTTAGCTTTAAGCGCTTATAACTCTAAAGCGAACTCGGTGACCCCCATTTTTTACTGTTGAATTGTAATAAACATGATAAGATGCGACTAGGTTTCAGAGCCACCTTAAATTTTCGAAAAACTAAGGTGGCTCTAAACCCTCTACACAGAATTTTTTTCAATTTTGAAAAAAATTTGTATCTCATCGTGTTTATTACAATTCAACAATAAAAGATGGGGTCACCAAGATCGTTTTTGAGTTATCAGCGCTCAAAGCTAAAATTAAGGGTGTTTTAGCGAGCCATGCTGTTGCTATGGTAACCTGTTATGCTTCGAAATTGACACAAACATGTTCACCAATGACTGGGCAAAGTTTGTACACTGATACAGAGTGCATATAATGACCTGTCAAAGTCTACATCTTGGAAAGTGCTGGAAACTGTTTTGAGCCACCTTAATACCCCGTCAGGATTACACATAACACATAAACAAACTTCTTCTGAGAAGTAAAGACCATTAAAAGAGGAGAGAAAGAAAAGAGGGAAAGAAGAGAGCCAAGGGGGCAGGCAGTGGAATGTGCTTTGAAAGGAAAAACCGAGGTAAGAGAGACATAAAACGTTGAAAGGTGTGGAGAAATAGCGAAACAAATGCCGTAATAGTTAAAAATTAAGAAGGAATCCACCAGAGGTTGGAATAACAAGAGGTCAAAAACTTTGTACCAAGATTATTTGCATCATATTGCAAACCTCTGTGCGACGGTTTTAAATATCTTCTATCAAAAAAAGAAATCATTCCTAACAACACCAAATGTCGAAAACAAATTTTGAACTTAATATGAAACACTTGAAAGTATCAGTGAAATAACACTGTTGATGAAATTTTACCTGAACTTTGAATTTACTTTCTCGAGTTCCTATGGGAAATTGTTTTTGGTGTTATTTCAGGCAATTATTTATAGCTTTAGCTTTTAGGAAAAGCATAATGGATTTCAATATACTTGGCATTATTCTGGTACGAGGTCTTTTTCCAATAAAAACTCAAATCTGCCTGATTTGCTATCGGATTTCGTCTTAAGTTCTTGCCACTGGGGCAAGGGAACTTTCCGATTTTGGGCTTGCAAAGAATTCAAGCTAGTGAAACTTGATAGAGTACCATCTATCAAGGCATCAACGTGTTCGTTGGAACCTGATAACATTTTGCTGGAAATAACATTTCCAAGTCAATTTGAAACCCAAGATAATTTACGTGTGTCAGTACGGTCAGTCATTAATACCGCCACGGAAAAAAAACTACGAAGTACTATAGTTCTTAATCCTTCTTGTTATCATGCATTTTCTCTTTACTATGATCAATATACTGTGCTTTGGTTACAGGATGAGAACACCTTTTGGACATATTTTTTCAGCTGCAAGTGATCAGTTTTGCATCATCGGCATCATCAAAGCTACTGTTTCCAGACCTGCTTCAGCCTCGCAAAGGTTGTTCTTGCCTTGCTGTGCCTATTGCTGATGTCACTACTGGCGCCTCCATCATAACAAATGGTGCTTCTAAGATAGTAGAAAGTGTCCACAAACTCTAAGTTGTGCTCCCCAACTCTTACAGGCTATGCTACTCTGTTCCCAACGTACATAGCCCTCGATTTATCACAGTTAATTGCCAGTCCATAATATAAAGATAAAAGGAAATACACGAAAGTAAAACCGACAGCTTGTTTCTAACCATCGTTAATCGTAACAGTGATACTAATGTACTTGATACCAACAAGCTCTCTCCTGTCAGTTTTATAAACCTCCAGAGTAAGACCATGACTGAGCAGCAGTCTTTTCGTGTATTCAGCCGTCTTAATGAAGCCTCCGCGATGCGGAGTGAAACATGAGCCCCTTGACTGATCCAGCTTAAGAGTGAAGACAAACTGATCAGGATAAAAGTTTTCATTTGGGAGAGGAATAAACCTATCAAGCCTTTGTACTTCTGTCAGAGTTTCTCCAGACTTGCCCTCCGCTGCAAAGCAAGGAGACAACTGGTAATAATTTAACTTGTCTACCGTTTCGAATCCGATGAAGCTGGTACCGTCTTTCTTTTTTCCGATGCTGACGTCATTAGCCACTGTTATCTTAACGGTCAGCACAGCTCCATCTTCAAGGACGCCAGCGGCCACCAAAGGAACTTTTAAAAGGGCTGCATTCATTATTGGGCCTGCGCTGAATGTTATCTGGTCATTGGTGATGCTATGATTCCTATTGATGTAAGATGCATGCGTCTTGAACCACGAGGGGGTCATGACGTACTCTTTAAATGGCACCTGCCAATCACAAATCAAAAAGGTTCTCTCGCGTTTCACTCTATTGATTATCGAGGTGATTTCATCGAGAAAGAAGGAACAATTAAAATTGTCACTATTTCTTTTACTTCATATTACATGTAGTATAAATCTTCTAACGTTCTATTACGAATGCCGTTTTCTTATTGGCTAAGCTACTTCGGCCAGCAAAATCTATTCTGTTGAAGATAGTGAGTACCCCAGCAGTGAACGGTTGTTAATAAAATGGCGACCTCTTCTTTGCGTTTTTGAAGTATCGATGAGGAGGATTTAGATAGTTTTCTAGTTAAGTGTTTATCGACTAGCCGATTTATACTAAAGCAATTAGATCACCCTCTCAATTTCTATGCGTGATAGTTAAGTCTGACTGCGCACTCATCAACTATCACGCGATAGAAATCTCGAGCTCATAATCTAATTGTTAAATAGAAACATGACGGACACAAACCTTGCCGGGGTTATCACTGTAGGCGTGGTCCTTTTTCAGCACATAATCCCAAGAGTGTGTGAACCGATCAGCATCGTTCAGCTCACAAAGCAAGTTGTCAAGGTGGAAATTGATGCTCTTGCAGCGTTGATCCTTTGAACACCTAACGTAACACAAGCCAATATTTGCCACATTTTCTGACGAAATCACATGACCTTTGAGATAACGCCCCCATACCGTGTGTGTGGATCTGCATTGTTGAGTTGATTGAACGACAGTAAATACAAGAGACGACATAAGCAGTTCTGTCCAAAACATCTCTGAAATAATAAAAAAAGACTTGGTGTAACGGTGGACCGCCGTGAAATTTACCTACGATTACAATATGCTCGTTCCGAACAAAACTGCACCAAACTGTGGATAAAATTCTTTGACTTTTGTCTGACTTTTACACGAAATTAAGAAATTCCCTTGGGTCAGAAAAAAGTCCTCCGACCTCGTACAACGGTTACTCGTTACATCGGCATTGTAGAGGACGAACGAAAGAATTACTGATTTATAACGAGAACGGAAGAGAGACGAGTTTTAACAGATTAACAAAAGTTTTCTTTAAGCTCCCCACTGATCCGGCATGTGCTAAAACCCAGATGGGGGACTCTGGACGATAGACGATAGACGATGGACGATGGACGATGGACGATGGACGATGGACGATGGACGATGGACGATGGACGATGGACGATGGAC